GAAGACTGTGAGACTCTTATCCCCAATTAACCACCCAAAAGCCAGAAGTGCTCATGCTCAGTTGAGATGCTGCCACTTCAGATGTATAAAACCACAATTTCAGTAGGAATTGTGTGATACACACCACATGTAACAGAAAGAACTGGAGGTATTTGTTTTTTTTTTTAATTTTTAAGTTTTCATCCATTTTCTACATTTTCCACCATAAACCCTAATTTTCTGAAGGGAAGCTAAATTGAGGCTCATATAAGGAAGGGTTCCACTGGAAGACACATTAGCTCATTTAAGTAAGTTATAAGAGCCATATGGGTCCCTTGACTGTCAGTATTTGGAGGATGAGGACAACAAGAAAGATGCCCTTAAAGGAACTGCTTTGCAGGACTCTGGCACCATCCTCGATGGGCTGTCAGAGGGTTTATAAATATGAAAAGGAAGGGGTGGGTAGGAACACGGCAGAGGAAGAAAACAGGAAGCCCCCTCGGCAGCAGCAGGAGGTGGCCACTGCCCCAGGCACCTTCAGGAAGGTCAGCGAACACTCGTGCCATCTGGCCCCAAGCCCAGGTGACCCACCATCCACAGAGATGAAATGTAGTATCCGTTCCCGCTTCAGCCTGAGCATTCTTCCAGTTCCTTGGCCAGAGACCAACGAGGTCCCTGGAGGCTGCAAGCAGGGTCCACTCTGATCCTTCTCCTCCTTCCTTCCACACCAACAAGCAGGGAGGAGGTCATGGAGGCTGTGCAGGTACAAACCTAGGGCCCATTCCCTTCAATGCCAGTCATCCTGAGGACCTGGGCATCTGTGACTGCACAAAGGACTCGGTAATTATCTTTCATGCATATTGTCCTCTGGACAAGAGGAAAGATGAGAGGAGGGAGAGATGCCATGTCCTCTGCCCAACAGACTCAGTCTCCCAACCCAGTTCCTTCCAACCCTCTTACCCATCAAAGAGGATTTGGGTATAGAAAAGCAAGGGCAGGTATGAAATCTACTCTGAGATTCATGGCACTATATGCAATTGGATGAACCCAAAAGCAGACAAAGCTGAACTGTGGCTGTCTTCCCACTCTCTGCCTGCTTAGCTATGAGACAGGACAGAAGTTGGAGGGATGTTGGGTGCTGATGGCTCACACCTACAATTGCTACTCCAGAGGGTGAGATCTGAGGACTGCAGTGTGAAGCCAGCACAAGTAGAAAAGTCTCTGAGATTAATTAGAGATTAACCTCTAATTAACCAACAAAAAGTTGAATGTGAAGCTGTGGCTCCAGTGGTAGAGCACCAGTTTTGAAAACAAACACTACAACTTGAACACTAAGCACTTGAACCTGGCCTTGAGTTCAAGATCTAGTACTAGCACATAGACACAGATCTAATATACTCACACAGAAAGATAGATACACAGAGACACACAACATTGAAAAAACGCAGGAAGATTAAGCCTCACGCCCCCCCCCCCACACGTGTAGGGAGGTAACAAAGGGTGAGTGATCTGCCAGTGGCCCTTAATCCCATCGTTCACTTGTTTCTTCTTTTATTAGCTACTTGAATGCCTCCTAGATGTGGCATTGCAAACGAGTCATGAACCAAACAGGTGAAATCTTTTCCAGCAAATTTGATTCGTTGCGAACACATCAACTAACAAGCCAGATGGTGAGCAGCTCAACACAGGAAAAGCAAGTCAGGGAATGGAGGCTGGAGGTGGCAGAGACAGCAACTGGGAATTTCCATCTTAAATATGTTAACTCCAGAAGGTCTCATGGATAACATGACTTTTGGACAGAAAATGGACCATGAAAATGTCAGGATAAAGATAATGTCTCAAAGAAGGAACAGCAAGTTCAAAGGTCCTGAGGTAGCAGCAGGCTTGACATCAGCACTGCCAAAGCAGGATACAATTCATCAACTGGGACCATGGATCTGAACTAGAGGGCCACCTCAAGGTCATCTCTACCAAATCAGAGTTCAGGATACCAGGCAAGAAAATGTCAGTAGGGAAAGCCATTCCCTTAACCCCCAGAAGATTCCCTGACAGAACTGTTTCTAGATCCCCCTTCTCCAGCGCCTGTTCACAGGGTGAATATCCCTTGTGCAAAATCCTTGGGCCCAGAAGCATTTCATTTTTTTTTATATTTGCATATAGCTTGTTTGGATACTTAATACACAGAGACTAAAGGAAATTCTATGCCAAAAAAATTCCTAAGTGTTTTTGGTATACAGTTTTCCACTTGTGCCATCACCTTGGCACTCAAAAGTTCTGGATTTTGGCCAGGGGCTGGTGGCTCACACCTGTAATCCTCGTTATTCAGGAGGCTGAGATATGAGGATCGTGATTCAAAGCCAGTCTAGGTAGGAAAGGCCATGAGACTTTTATCTCTATCAGAAAACCAGAAGTGAAGCTGTGGAGCAAAGTGGTAAAGTGATAGGTTTGAGCAGAAAAACTAAAGGGCATCACCTAGGCCCTGGGTTCTAGCCCCATGACCACCACCAACAGCAAAAATAATGGTTTGATTTTGGAGCATTACAGGTTTTAAGGAGTAGCAATACTTAAGTCTGTATAGATATTTATGGGCTAAGAAGAAAATGGACAATAAACGCAAGTGTTACAAAAGACTCAGAAGAGAGGCTGAGAGTTTATGGCTCATGCCTGTAATCCTAGCAACTCAGGAGGCTGAGATCTAAGGATCACAGTTTTAAGCCAGCCAGGCCAGAAAAGTCCATGAAACTCCTGTTTCCAATTAAACTCCAAAAAGTTGAAAGTGGAACTGTGGCTCAAGTGGCAGAGTGCCAGACCTGAGTGAAAAAAGCTAAAGGTCAGGGCCTAGGCCCTGAGTTCAAGCCTTAGTACTGTTGGTTTGTTTGTTGTTGTTGTTTTGTTTTTAAAAAAAGGACCCAGAATTACAATCTCTTTGGTATTATTCAATGTTTTGAACTATAAGAAATTTCTCCTCAAACTGAACAACAGTGGGAGACAGTGAGAAACAGTATGCAAAACATATCCCTGGTGGTCCAGGGGAACCCTAAAGACTCTGCAACATGGACCCCCCTGGAGGGAAGGACAGCACACCTCAAGGTTCTGGAAGCTATGGGGCATGAAAGCCCAATCTCAGAGGGTTTCTTCTCCTTCCAACGGCTGAGGCTGGGTGAGGTCCGGAGTTGGTGAAAGGGAGCTGCTTGCAGCTTGCTGGAGACCAGACGGGAAGGAAGAAGGGTCTCTCATAGCTGAGACCTGAACCTCAGCTCGAGGCTCAGAGCGCAAACCCTAAACACAAAGATGGGATCTCAGTGGGACTGCCAAATCAGCAAGGAGTCCTTGGAAGACGTTTTTGTGTGTGCCAGTACTGGAGCTTGAACCTAGGTCCTCACACTCTCAACTTGACTTTTTTCACTCAAGGATGGTGGTCTACTACTTGAGCCACACTTCCGGCTTTTTGCTGGTTAATTAGAGACAAGAGTCTCAAGGACCTCTCTGCCCAGACTGAGCCATCAGTCACTATAACATTTTGGTGACAGGGCATAGAAGGGAACTATTAAATCCTAGCCTTCCATCCTCTAAGAATCTGATCTTAAGTTGTTCCTAGATTTCCAGGGTTTCGTTTCCCACTCTACTGGTATCTTCTCCTTGGTTCTCAAAACATATGATGCACATACATGGCAGACACTAACACTACTTTTGTGGTTGCTCCCTAAATATTTCCTCACACAGGGAAGCCCCTGGAAGCATCATCTTCAATCATGTAATAAGCACCCAGGAGGGTGACACCTGGCCACTGTTACTGGGCTCTCCTTTGGACCAACTCCTCAGGTCTTTGGGAGAAATCTGAGTTCTTATCCTAAGACACACCACAGGGCTGATGATTCATGCTGAAGAGACACTGACAGAAGCCTAAATGAGCTGGGTACCCAGTGACTCATGCTTGCAATCTTAACTACTCAGGAAGCTGAGATCTGAGGATCAAGGTTCAAAGCCAGCCTGGGCAGGAAAAGTCCATGCTTTTCTATTATCTTTATTATTATCTTATCTCCAATGAACCACTGAAATCTAGAATGGAGTTGTGGCTCAGTAGCAGAGCCATAGCCTTAAGTGAAAAAAAAAAAAAACAAAGCACCCAGGCCCTGAGTTCAAGTCCCAGTAACAGCATAAAAAGCAGCAGCACTAGTGGCTCATGCCTGTAATCCTAGCTACTCAGGAGTCTGAGATCTGAGGATCATGATTCAAAGCCAGCCCGAGCAGAAAAGTTTGTGAGACTCTCATCTCCAATTAATCACAGAAAAAAATCCAAAGTGGAGCTGTACGTAGCTCAAGTGGTAGAGAGCCAGCCTTAAGCGAAAAGTAGCTCAAGAACAGTGCCCAGGTCCAGACTTCAAGCCCCAGGACCACTGAAAAAAAAAAAGCAGCAGCAGTCTAAATGAGCTAATATATGTGAAAAGGCCCCAGCCCAGGGCCTGGCACTCAACAGGCACTGTAACTGTTGGGGACTCGTTTCCTTCTGTGGTCACAAAACCTGGCTTTCAGAGGCTGGGAGGTAACAACACATTACACAAGTACTACTCAGGTGGTCAAAGAAACACATTTGGCAACTGGAGCTAACTTCCACACAGCCCCCCCAGCAATCACCTGAGTGTAACTCTTCAATTCTCTCTCTCTCTCTCTCTCTCTCTCTTACTTTCTGGTCTCTGTTCCTCTGGACAAAAAGTCAGCCAGTGTTCCTCCTGCCTCCCAGGCTGTCACTAGGGAAGGAGGACACAGTCACACGTCCCCACTGCTGCCCAGTTCAGGGGATAGCAAGGTGACACCCACTTGCAGGGTCAAATGCCAACTCATACACTGTTAATAGTGTCATGAGATGCAAAGAAGCAGATGGGAAGGAGAGGACTTCAAGGGCAGCCGTGTACATGGTCAGGACTACTTTACATCACACTGAATGACTTGTCCTGACCCCATGGGAGATATGGAAACCATCAAGGGCCCCCACAGTGCAGTTGGGTCTGAAGGACTCTTACCTGCCTCGCCACCTTCCGTGCCTCCCAGTAGGGCTTGGAGTCCTCCACAGCTTTGCCGATTTTCTTCACCAACTCATCCAGTTTCACTGTGGCCTCCACCAGAACAGAGCGGAACTTCTGACGGGCATCCTGCAGCCAGGGGCCATAGAAGAGATACAGCTCAGGCACAAGAAGGACACTGCCAACACTGGCTTCAAACACAGGAGGGACTCTATCCAGCATGCAGATACCCTCATCAATGCCTTACAAGACAGTGTCTACCCTGGCACCATGCAAAGAACTTTCTCTTGCAGTGACAATGATCTAGAACCTACACTGTTAGGATGACCACCCACCGTACACACATATGGAGCCCTTAGACTGGCTGGGGTGACTGAGGGAATGAGTTTGCAATTTACTTGAGTTTTATTTACATTAATAATTAATGTGGCCAGGCATGGAGGTACACACTTGGGTGAACTAGAGATAGGAGGATCATGTTCCTCGGACAGCCCAGGACAGTTAGTCTTAAAAGAAAAAAAAAACGTGACAAATAGGATTACACAAAATAAAAAGTTTCTGCACAGTGAGGGACATAGTTACTAAACTAGAAAGACAGCCAACAGAATGGGAGAAGATCTTTACCAGCAAGACATCTGACTAACATCCAAAGGACTCAAAAAGCAAACCCCCTCCAAAACTATCAAATCAACAAATGGGCAATGGAGCTTAAGAGCATCTTCTTGGAAGAAGAAAATGGCAAGCAAACACATAAGGAAATGCGCAACAACACTGGCCATAAAGGAAATGCAAATCAAAACAACTTCAAGATTCCATCTCATCCCAGTTTGTATTCTTGATAGTGGCCAATCTAACAACAACAAATGCTTGGATGGGATGTTAGGATAAAGGAATCCCATTGCACTGTTGGTAAGACTAAACTAGTACAACCAATCTTGCAGGAAGTCTGACAGTTCCTCAAAAAACTAAACATAGAACTTTCCTACAACCTAGCCATACCATTCTTGGACATCTACCCAGAATGTTACAAAAATCAGGAGACAGTGAAGACACTTGTGCATCCATGCTCACTGCTGTACTATTCACAATAGCCAAGTCCTAGAAACAGCCCAGATGCCCTAGAGTAGATGAGTAGATCAATAAAATGTGGTACAAGGGATACACAATGGAATTTTACTCATCCATTAGAAAGAATGATATCTGCAGGGGAATGGATGGACCTAGAACAAATCATGTTACGTGAGATAGGCTAAGCTCAAAAAGTGACGACGAATATTTCTCTCCTATTCAGAAGCTAGATCTAAAATACACCAGGGCATGGTAAATTATACAGGACTCTAGGCATTCACACAGTGAGACCAAAGGATACCATTAGGGGAGGAACCCAAAGGCATAATCTCCTGAACATGTAAACTACTATTTATTGAAATGAATTCCTGGAAAGGGAAACACAAGTTATTTATTTCGCTGCTGGTGGTAGTGTTCCCCCTACCCTTTTTCTTTTTCTGCTTCTTGGGGAAGAAGAAAGGAGAGGGTGCAGAAAGCAAAGGAGGAAGGGCAAACAAATGCAATCATGGTATTCAGTCTACACTATGTGGAAAGTGAACTATGTAACTTGTGGGCAGGGAGGGGAAGGGGAAAGTGGGGGAAAGTGAAGGACGGGGTGACCCGTCCAAAGAGAAATGTGAATTGTGAAATGGTAACCACTCTGTACAATACCTTAATAATAAAATTATATTTTTAAAGAGAGATAAAAACAAATAGCAAAAGAACCAAGTATGGCTCAAGTGATGGAACACTAGCCAATCGGGCACCATACATTGAGTTCAACCCCCAGGACTTCAAAAAAGTAAATGAATAAAAACTAATGTGACCAGGTAACTATGCTGGACAGAACTGCATACATTAAAAAGTTCTGTCTGCCAGGTGCTGGTGGCTCATGCTTGTAGTTCTAGCTACTCAGGAGGCTGAGATCTGAGGATCATCGTTTGAAATGACCCCAAGCAAAAACATCCACGAGGCACTCATCTCCAACTAACCAGAAAAAAGCAAAGCAAAAAGTTCAAGACCCTGAGTTCAAGCCCCAGTACTGGGATGTGCACGCATGTGCGTGTGCACACATGCTTATGCATGTACACACACACACACCTTTGTCCAGGTCTTCAGAGGAAGATCATCCAGTCTGGCCACTTGTGATAGCTTCAGTCCATATTAAGTTCACTGTACCATTTCCCACAAAGTCCTTGACCACATGATTCATCAGTCATTAACACTGAGTGCAAGTTTATTGCATGTACTCATGCATGCCTGCATGTACTGATGCACATAAGACCCTGTTCTGGGTCTTCAGCATGTTCTTCCCTCAGTACATTACCACCCAGTCTAGAAATGTCAATGCCCCCATGGCAACAGCATGTACCATGGAACCCAGCAGCAGAAAACCTTACCAGAGCCACTAATGGAGAGAGGTACAGAATCTCCAGACCAGTAGCTACTGACACATGTGGGGGACCTGGGACTGAGAGAAAATTCATGTCCCCAGCAGGCAGCAGAGCCCTAGTTCAGGCAGGATAAATGGCTTAGTGTTTTCAAGAATCTAAGGGAGCTAGAGGCCTGGAATGTGGAGAATGTCAAGAGATAAGGGTGGCCACCAATCCTGGAAGCAGCTACCAACAAAGGTCTAGAAACTACAGGGTGCTTCGTTATTCAGGAGCTGAGATCTGAGGATTGCTGTTCAAAGCCAGGCTAGGTAGGAAGAGTCCATTAGACTCTTATCTCCAATTAAGCCACCCCCCCTCCAAAAAAAAGCCAGAAGTGGAGCTGTGGCTCAAGTGGTAGAGCATTAGCCTTGAGCACAAAAGCTCAGGGGTAGCACCAAGGCCCTGAGTTCAAGCTCCAGGATTGACACCCCCGCCCCCCTCAAAAAAAAACCAGAAACCAGGTCCATGAGATATAAGGAAGAATAAAAATGAAGAAATATAGTCCCTGGTTTGGGGAATTGAGTTGGTATTTCTCAGGTCCCAAGACCCAGCTTTCCCTTTCTTTTCTCTCCTGTTCATTTGCATGGTGGAGCCACATGTGGGTGGGGTGATTTGGGGAAAGGAGAACACATAGTCACAAGCCCAGACGATTCCCTGAGACTAAACAGCCATCTGCTGGGGAGACATTTGTCCCATAGGCTGAAGGACCTTCCCCATAATGAACTATTGAACAGTCTATATTTCTACATGCAGGGGAGGGTCATAGGGATAAAGATGGCTCTGGTCAGCTCTTCTAATCCATCCCCTGTCATCTCAAGCCATGGGCTTGCTAGAAAGGCTTGACCATGGTATTCAGGATGTGAAGATACAGCCTCAGCTTCCCTTAGGAGTCTTCACTCTGCTCTGAGCCCAAATCCCATTTCTGATTCAGATTTTCCCCCATCCTGTGTTTGTCATTATCTTGATGTTCTCAGCCTTCTCTCTCATCAGCCAGGCCTGGAATCATCTGCTATAGCTTCTGAAGGCAGAGAACAGAGGACACTGGGCCTCCAGGGAAGGGCCGCAGATATCTTGAGGTACTCCAGGGAACAAGAAAGTCCCACACAACTTCTGCCAGGCTTGGCTTCTTGGAACGGGGAAACAGCATGTTGTCAAGGCCCAGGATTTCAATGTGAGACACAGAGTCAACCACAGTTAAATCTTTCTGTGGCAGCCTATGCACCATCGGTTATTATCTATGAAAGTGTTATTTTTCATCTTATGGGGAGGGTTATGAGAAAAAAAGGAGAACACAAATGTAAAACCCCTAATAGTTCCATCCAGAGCCACAGTTTATGCTCAATAATTGCATATGATGTTTCCTTTTGTGATCCATGAAAAGCCACTGATAGGGCTGGGAAGGTGGCTCAGTGGTAGAGAGCACTTGCCTTGCATGCATGAGGCCCTGGGTTTGATTCCTCAGCACATAAGCAGAAAAAGCTGTAAGTGGCACTGTGGCTCAAATGGTAGAGTGCTAGCCTTGAGCTGAGGGACAGCACCCAGGCCCAGAGTTCAGGCCCCACAACCAACAAAAATAAATAAATAAATAAAATAAAAAATAAAAGCCACTGATAACCATTTTTCCTCCTGTGACCTATTAAAAACCACTGGGTGGGTGAGGAGTCTCCATGAGGCAGGGTGGCTGACAAGATGGACATAATAACATCAAACTTCAAAGACAGTTGCTTTGTCAGCTGTACTCATGCATCTGACTTGAGTCCTTACAGTTACCTCTCAGTCCTGAACAGCATCCTCCCCTAGGACCACTTGTAAATAACCTGGTCCCAAAGCACTGTCTATGGGCCAAGAGACTTAGAACATCTGGCTTATATACTGTGTAGTAAATGTTATAAAAAAATTAATTTTTAAGCTGGACACTGGTAGCTCACACTTATAATCCTATCTACTCAGAGGCTAAGAGCTAAAGATCATAATTTGAAGCCAGTCTTGGCAGACACGTCTGAGAGATTCATCTCTAATTACCCAGCAAAAAACTGAGACTGGAGGCATGGCTCAAATGGTAGAGTGCCAGCCTTGAGTAGAAAATATAAGCAAGGACTCAAGTTTAAGTCCTAATACTAGTAAATGCCCACACAAAAATATACAAGCACCAAGGTAATTTTTTTTTTTTTTTTTTGTCGATCATGGATCTTGAACTCTGAGCCTGAACGCTGTCCCTCAGCTCTTCAGCTCAAGGCTAGTGTTCTACCATTTGAGCCACTGTGTTACTTCCGGTTTTCTGAGTGGTTTATTAGAGTTAAGAGTCTCATGGGCTTTCCTGCCTGGACTGGCTTTGAACTGTGATCTTCAGATCTCAGCCTGAATAGCTGAATTACAGGTGTGAGCCACTGGCGCCCAGCAACACCAAGGTAATTCTCAAATTTTTCATTAAAAAACAATCAGGCTGGCTGTAATCCTTACTACTCAGCAGGCTGAGATCTGAGAATCACAATTCAAAACCAGCCCAGGCAGGAAAGTCTGTGAGACTCTTATCTCCAATTAACCACCAGAAAACCAGAAGGAGCACTGTATCCCCAGTGGTAGAGAGCTAGCCTTGAGCTGAAGAGCTGAGGGGCAGTGCCCAGGCCCAGAGGTTGAAAGACAAAAAAAAAAATCAGGTGATCTTACTTGGTAAACATGAGCCAGAAGTGGAATAGAATATAACCTACCCACTCTGCTTGTATCTATATTACACACCTGATG